CTATTTCTTCCGTATTTCAAGTTCCGTTTATTCTTTCTCGTGTCTCTCATGTCATATAGCACCATTGATTCAGTCACGTATTATGCTCATAATTTAAACGGATGTCTAAACAGAAACTCTAGCGCTTCGCTCTCTTATCTACTACCGCGGTCCATTAGCCCATGATTCGTTTACTTCTAGTCCTATAGCCCATTTTTGTTATTCCCCACCTAAGCCTTCTTAAACAACATTAACTTTTCCGCTTCTCAGTCCTCATGAACCAATCACTTTCGATTATTGATCCCACTTTAATTTCTCTACGCCTATCAGTAAACGCTTTGTAAAAAACTCCGCCCTAGAGGACAGCATCCGAAAGCGCTCTGGACCAAAGTTCCTCTGGGCATCTTGAGAATCAAATCTTCCACCGCGAGAGACGGACATCTCCTGCTCTCAGAGACAATCAAGTCTCACCGCGACTCCAAATAGTCACCCGCGAATTTGTACCGTGCGACCGCCGCCGTTCATAGTGTCATATTTTACAATTGTTATCGGACTTATTCGTTATTGTTAATAAACTATTTCTGTTACGAATTCAAGTCATGTGCCCGAACTCATAAAACTGACCTGACTCGAGATTTCGTCGAGAATTAATCAGTCATCAAATTTGGCTCTCACATCCAGTGCAACCCGCGTTCAGACTTTCTTTCGAACATCCGCAACAGGAGCTCTTGTCCCTCCTCTGTATCGCCGTCGCCGTTTATGATGCCGCCTGTTCCTGATCCCCGCGTTTCCTTCGCTCTACCGTCCAATAAATCAAATCAGCGGGGGGTCCCGGCTCCGTAAACGCTCGACGACATAATTCCTAACGCCGACGCCCTTTTAAAGTTTAAAGTGCGGCCGTAGTCTTTACGACTGCCTCGGCGAGCCATCGATGTTTTACGGGGCGTTTCCTCGTTTCCTTGCAGACGTGGACCGGGAAGATGGTCACGTAGGGTACGTCCGGCGGCGTAACCGAAGCCATGATCCCTCGTCGTTTGGCCCCGGGTTATCCTTGAACGAGAAAGGACGAAAGTTAGGGACGTTCCGACCAGGTAACGCGCGCAAACGCGAGGGCATCCGAGGGGATTGGATGGACCTCCGATCGGGAAATATCCCTTTAATGCGGCGCCATCCGATTTTCCGAATCGGGAGCAAACTCGGATGGCACGCGTCCCACTTAAAACTTCCTCTCGGCCGATCTCCTCGGCTGGTCGGGCCACTCCCACGAGAGGTGGCTTCACCGCGATCTAATTTACGTGCCTGACGTCAAGCGTGGCCCCGATAAACGTCAATGCGTAAATTCTTTGACCGGCCGTCCTCGGCCCGAGTTCGGAAGGCTCTGCCCGGCTGCTCCTTTTATGGCTGTCCGGTCGCCGCAGGACGACCTTCCGTCTTGCCGCACCTGCCGTATCGAGCCGGAAAGGCCTCTCTGGAGGTCCTTGCGGCGTTCCTGTAGAACATTGGAAATTTCAATTACGTTCGATTTTACATGATTTTACAAGCTAGACATTGCGCAAAAATAAACGTGAACAATCGAATATATAACGTATCTAAAGGTACATTTGGCGTGAAACTCTACTCCTCTTACTCCTTGTGGCGTTCCTGTGGAACATTGGAAATTCCAATTACGTTGGCTTTTAAAGGAGTTTACAAGCTAGAGATTGCGCAGAAGACAAACGTGAACAATAAATATATACAACGTATGTAAGGGTACATTTGGCGTGAAACTTTACTCCTCCTACTGCTTGTGGCGTTCGTGTAGAACATTGGAAAATCAAATTACGTTCGATTTTACAAGATTTCACAAGCTAGAGATTGCGCAGAAGACAAACGTGAACAATCAAATATACAACGTATGTAAGGGTACATTTGGCGCGAAACTCTACTCCTCCTACTGCTCGTGGCGTTCCTATAGAACATTGGAAATTCCAATTACGTTCGATTTTAAAAGATTTTACAAGCTAGAGATTGCGCAGAAGACAAACGTGAACACTCGAATATATAACATATCTAAAGGTACATTTGACGTGAAACTCTACTCCTCCTACTCCTTGCGGCGTTCCTATAGAACATTGGAAATTCCAATTACGTTCCATTTTAAACGATTTTACAAGCTACAGATTGCGCAGAAGACAAACGTGAACACTCGAATATATAACATATATAAAGGTACATTTGGCGTGAAACTCTACTCCTCCTACTCCTTGCGGCGTTCCTGTAGAACATAGGAAATTCCAATTACGTTGGATTTTAAAGGATTTTACAAGCTAGAGATTGTGCAGAAGACAAACGCGAACACTCGAATATACAACGTATGTAAGGGTACATTTGGCGTGAAACTCTACCGAGTATCATGATTCGGGGTCCAAGGGTACGAAAGTTCGACGGTGCACTAAACCCGTACGGGTTTATCTTTATCTTGGACGATAATGAGTCGAACATACTATATAATATGAAATCGAAGCTTGTAAAGAACGGATGAACGTTCGTCCCCCTAAAAACGCAGACGTATAAACGCAGTTAACTAACCGCAACGCGGAGAACGGTCCCCTCCATGTGACGAGGAAATTCAACTTCCGTCCAATTTCCCGCGCATAGAGGACGAGTGTCCTAGGAAAAGTTCGAGGTCGAAATCCTTACACTTTCGGAACGTGTCCGCCCCTTGTCCTATCCCTATTCCCGGGGGATTTCACAGGGACACTTCGGAACTAATTTCCAAGAGACACGCGTCGTCCTCTGAAAGCCTCTTCTCCCTTTCCTGTTACAGGAATGTCATTTTCCGGGCTCGCCATCGAGGGGAGGCCTCGAAGTCCGATCTGAAAGTACGTCGTATTTATTATCAAAAACATGATCGGCAAGGCGATCAAATTACGGCTCGTCGTTCCCCGAATTTCCTGAATTCCGTTAAACCGCATAAACGGTAAAAGAAGTTAAGAAGCTGCCTTTTTACCGTTACTCTTATCGATCACTGTCGCCTCGATAACGGCTACGGGTCTTACCCTACGTCGGTTGTCCTTAAGGTGAAGTGAAACCCCCTTCAAGTCGGTCGATTCGAATACAACACTTTTATTAAGAGGATTGGACCAAACTGTCGAAAACTTTGACACATGACTCGTGATTATCTAAGAATTGTCCTGACACGTTCAAAATTTGAATTTTTGGAAAAAAATTGTTTAACTTAGCTCAGACCAAAATCAAAATGGCATCGAGCTCTCATATTTCGATCAATATAAAATTATCGAAGGCTTCGAAAGAGAAACAAAAGGGCCAGGACAATTTTACGACAATTAAGAACACTCTGGTAATCGATGAACTCGCAATTGAACGGAATACAGGCGAAAAAAAGTGTTTTATGCGCTTTTATGCCAAAACGATGGGAATACGAGTCTCGGAGTGAAAATTTAGTTGGCCTGGAAATCACAGATGGCGCAGGGGGCCCCTCTGCAGTCAATTAGGGCCCCAGAAAGCATGAATTCAGAGGATTTCTGGAGTTTTACTTCGATTTCTTTATAATTATTGTACGAGAACGACAGTTGGAGTATGCCATTTAGTGCAATACCTAATATAATTCGACCCAGCCGTCAATATAAAAACGAACATCGGCAACGTAGGTATTTAGAAAAATCTTCTTTGTCGACGTCGAACAAGTCCTCAACGTGTTTCACTTCACCTTAAAGGAGTCCAATTCGCGGAATAAAGTAATGAAAGTAAGACGGGAAGCCGAGGGTTCCCGGCACGCCACGACATTCGAAGGGCTGAATAGACCCTGACGGAGATAACCGAATTTCGGATGGTGCTAGGACGTAATTTTCGTTCGTAAACGACGTTAGGGGCCGTTTTCGCTTAGCTCGTACTTTCAGTTTCCTCCATCTCCGTCAACCCTCGATGTGGTACTTCCTGCCTCTGCCGTCACAACTTCGAGGTCGACTTCCCTGCATGGGGTGGCTAAACGCAGCATCGCTTTTTTTCTTGGGAACCTGGGATAAATAAACAGATGGCCATTACCACTGGGTTCAATATTTTTTGCGACTCCTGACGAACCCCTAAAAATATTCCGTATTGCGTGACCCTTCACAGCCAGGGAACACGTAAGAGGGCGAAACGTTTCGTGTTAATAACGCTAATTAAAATCAAAGGGTGTTTGGGAAGCACCTTGAGAATTATTATGATGGAATGTATTAAAACGTAATAGAATGTAGGTCACAATAAGGACGCTGGAGAGACTAAAGAGAATCTATTACTGTTGGTTTTCTAACCTTGATTATCATCTCGCTACGGTGAGATTACCGCTTTAATGTCCATTTTAATCACTAGCCGTGCATTTTAATCACAAGCTGTGATTTCATACGTACCTGAAGTTCTGTCATTGAAGGCAGCATTAAAACTGGCGCGAAATCCAACCGAGTTTGTGTCGGAACGGTGTTGGTGACGCCATCTCGAGTGAATTATGCGAAGTTAGAGGTATTATTTTTATCGACAAGTTTTTTTGAGTTTTAAATTTTAAACGTATCGAAAGGAGGAATATTAAATGAGTTCCAGGGAATTAGCAATTCCTAATCAGACTGATTCATTGTAGTACCATGGTTTAGGGATGAGAAGAGATTATAGATAGCCATCTGGTCCTCCTTATCCGACAGTTGGTAAGGAGCGATCAAGTAACCCTTCGATGCTAGAAACAGTTACAAAGGAATGCAAATGAGTCCATCAGTTTGCGAACAACGTCAAATTGACTTTTCTATGAGTTTCCGATCCTGGCGTTCCTAGAATAATGCATACAATAGGCACACTTCGGTGATCGTTTTCATCGGACCCCCTTGATCGTCTTGCAGGAGTCGTCTTATACATACAACGCAGTGTTCGAGATTCTTAATGGTTCTAAAAGAGAATCCCTTTTAACTTCCTTAATTTAAAGGTAATTTATTTTTTCTTATGTAACAGGTATTTTATACGTACGTTAAGAAAATGAAAATTGTATAACGAGATAGGTACGAAATATTTTATTCAAGACACTGCTGCTTGCTGTCACTGCATTTCTGTATGATTTCTATAAATAAAAAATAAAAGTGAAAATGACACCTTAACCATGGGACATACGCATTAAATTCATTCCCGTACTCACTTTCTATAATCGTCTGTATCGCAACTGTGGTAGGTGAATCAGGCATTTCTGTCAAAAAGTTCTTGCCTTCGTCGCAACATCTTGCTAAAAGTGGATCTAATGGAAGTGATCCTAAATATTCAACGTTTAATTCACTTGACATCTGCTTAGCTCCTCCCGTTAATGCTGGAAAAATTTCAGCCGAGCTCTAAACGTACAAAAAATCCTGTTACGTTTAATCAAAACATATCTGTGCACATGACTTTTATAGATGAATATTACCTTGCACTTAGGACAAACAAACGCGCTCATGTTTTCAATGACACCTATTATAGGAATGTTAACCTTTTTACAAAAATCAATTTCTTTTCTAACATCCAATAAGGCAACTTCTTGAGGTGTCGTAACTATAACTGCTCCAGTTATTCCAGCACCCTTTAAGTATGAAGTTGCAGATAAATGCTCGTCTGACGTACCGGGTGGCGTATCCAATATCAGATAATCCAAATCACCCCAATCAACCTCAGACAGGAATTGTTTTATCATTCCTATAAAAGTATGACGCTTCAGTAAAATATTTTTTACTGGAAATTTCTTTTTAATATACAACCGTACCATTTTTTTTAGGTCCCCTCCATATCACAGCATCGTTAGAACTTCCAAGGAGGAAACCAATGGACATTAGTGACAAATTATCTTCAATGTACTAGAAAAGTATGAAAATATCAAGCATTATTTTCAAGTATTGCCTCTAATAACTTCCTCAAATATTGCTGCACTCACTACAGGTGACCACCCAGATGCACTTTGATGAATTTGTTCACCAAGGGCACCCAGCACCCTTGGTTGAGATGGCCCACAAATATCTATATCTAATACAGCTACCTGTGGAAAACAATTTTTCTATGAATTATTTACGTAATTTTAGTGAAACACATCTCATTCAGTTACTGATATCTCTTTATATTTGGCCTATTTCTTCAGAGAACGAGAGGTATGTTTACTGCTAACAACCCTCGGATTATAGGGATAGGAATCAATAATAGGCTGGTACAGACTGTCGCGACATACATAGCGGTAGGGCAATGGAATCTTTCTTGGCCCTGTTCATTTCCCAAACTGAAAGTCGTAGGAAGTACTTGAAATGTTATCATGTACATCGAAAATCATATTGACATTCTTGGTATGGGAAAGAGGGTAAGGTTTTACAAAGTTTGAGAAGTTTTTATATTAAGACCAGTGAATATAGCAATATAAGTGCAACTTTTGGATCGCCTCGACAAAAAATGTGACAGCTCAAAGCACAACAGTATGAAGTACAAAAATGTTAAAAGCATCATAAAGTAGTAAGTAGGTAGAAAATGTGATTTTACATTTCTGTTCGGGTCATCAGCAGCCAAAGTCCGTGCCAAAAGAGATGTAACGGTACTTTTTCCAACTCCTCCTTTGCCGGAAAGTATCAGAATCTTGTTTTTCACATTGGATAGCCTCTGCTTTACTAACTCTATTCCAGGATCCACCTGTTTACTCTCTCCCGAGGCACAAATTCCTTGATTCGGGCAGCCAGCACATGCCGAAGCTTTACCTGCATTTTGACTTTGCGTTCCAGGACAATCTAAAATAATATCTTACATTTTATGGAAAGAAAACAAGTTGTCGAGCTTCATTCTTATTTAGTAAATCCACTTAATTAACCAGCGAAAGTAAAGAAACATTCCATTATTTGTAACTAAAGGAACATTTTTTTTTATTACAGGTGCAATAATTATGAATCCTCTGATTAGCTTCTGTGATAACTTCACTCGCCGATTTAAACTTAACCTATAAATTCCTACAATGAATGACACGCAGAAAAACTAACAGACATACTTTAGCCAAAACTCTACAATATAATAAATCAGTTCTTGTAAAAATGTCGGACTTCCAATTTTCAATTTGACCAAATCTTCTATCACTCGAAAATTAAAATAAATTACGCACGTTCAGGAGCCTCTGCTGGCACATCAGCCATGTTGAATTCACTGAGAAATTGTGACGTATTACTTTCAAAATACAAAAAACAATAGAAAACGATCCCAACTTCCTTATACATTACATTTACCTGCTCACAATTTTATAAATGGTATGAATAGCGTCAAATAAAAAATAATCAGTAATAACATTATATGGATATGTCACAACCAGTGAAGCTCATTCTTTTAAATTGTCATTTGTAAATTGTTCATTATCTTTTTAGACAATCGGTTATATTTTTTGCAGCAACTTCAACCTTGGAGTACCGTTGGATCGTCGATGCCTTGTACAGAGTCATTAGTCCCAGTACGTGCTAATGAGTATTTTGGCATGCATCATTTACAACCGTGGCGTCCTAATATGGGATATGAAAATGTTGAAGTTGTCCCACTGTACGTAAGAGTTCTATTTGTATTAAATTTATGTACAGTAGTAAACCTAACATAAATTAGTAGTAAGGTTTCAAATGATGAAAAAGTAGTGGCAAAGAAATTGACCAAGATGAATATTGATTTAACAAACCGTTCCATCCTAGAGACAGCATTCCTTCACGCATGACTGCCCGGCAGTTTCCATTCTGATCTTGTGTGGGTCTTGTAATATAAGTTCCTTTGTACTTAGCTACAATAAGTGAAATTTTATTTTATAAATTTATGCGATACATTCGTTTTAAATATAAAACTGCATCGTATATTTTCATACCATCAAATTTAGCGAGGGACAAGTAATAAATAATTAAAACTACGTACAGGTCACAGAAGTGTATATCTACCTATGCAGTGGACCCTGTCAGTAACATGGCTACGCAACCCTTGAAATTTCCAAATTTGGTAACAGGGCTTGAACGCAATCCTGTACATGCATCCCAAGCTGCCTTATATACAAGGTTTACACCAAACGAATGGTTCCAAAAACAAATTAAATTCTATAACGAAGCTGATTCCAATAGACACTATGCAGAAAGAATGAGAAACGATGCTGTGAAAATTATGAGGTATTTATAATTTCACTTGTTTATATATTAATAGGCATGTCTCAGATCATTTATTCCTAGTTATTCAAATTTTATAGAGAAGCAGAAGATAGAATACAGTGTGGACAATTTAATACAGGTAAAAGATTAGGAGAACGAATAACGGATGTGACTTTCTGGCGTAATGAAGTTGCATCGGAACTTGAAAGACTCATACACGAGATCGAAAGACTCCAGGACTGTCGAGCAGTTTTAGAAAAAGCAGTACGTGACGTGGATGGCCCTTTGCATATAGCCGAGGAATGTTTATACCATCGGGAATCTCGAAAAGGTGCTGCAGGATTTTCAATTACTTGTAATTAATCTTGAGTAAGTTATTTCATTATGACATATTTTTTGTTAATTACTACAGGGACAGAACTTGTACACGATGAAAGTGAAAAGTGCCTCCTTCGTGAGGTTCAAATGTTGAGGTGCAATCAAAAAAAGTTAGAAGCTTGTCTTGAAAGATGTAAGGATCAGGTGAGAATACTTTAAAATATATAAAAGACGTGATTACTTGTCATACACAAATAATAAGTTTTCTTTTTAGCTCCGAATCTGCAGAGCATCTCAAAATCAATTAGAACTTGACTTGAAAAATAAAGAAACTGCTCTTGGCATTGATACTTTGTGTCACCAACTTAATAACTACAGCCAAGGATTGCAGTACTACTCCGGAATCGAAAAATATGATCCATGGTATATACTTCTTAGATGTTCATTACAATTTGCGAAATATTTCTTTGTTCTTGCTTGACCTGTTTTCGCAGTATTTCAGAGCAGGAATCATGGGCAGAAGCAGTAAACAGAATAGTACAGAAATCACAGACCGAAAGAGCCAAATCCTGTCAGTTACGAACCGATGCAGAAACTTTAGTGAACCGTGTAGCACAGGATATGTGGGAATCATGGTCTATGACCAATAATGCTCTTGCCCAACGGTCTACCGAAATGCTCGAAGCTAAAAGCAAATTACAACAACATCTTCACAAGGTAGGATAATGATTATTTCGCAGGCACTGTTAAAATTATATTATTTTGGCACAGGTACAACAAGAAATATTCGATATTGAAAAGAACTTGGAATTAATGAGAAAAGCTATAGCAGATAAAAGTCATGCTATTAAAGTTGCCCACACAAGATTGGAAGCAAGAATGCATCGTCCAGAGATAGAATTATGTCGTGATTACGCGTACATGAGGTAGATTCTATTATAAAATAATCGTCACTTTTTTCAGAGGCCCATCCTAAGTTACATTTTATTTATTTACAGTTTACAAAAGGAAACAGATGAAATAGCTAGACAGGTGGAGAGAATGTACAGATCGCTAAAAGAAATGGAGAATCAACACCAAAGGCTTCTAAGAACGAGAAATGCATTGGAACATGATCTCGCTCTTAAAATTGATGCAATGTATATAGATAAAGAAAAAGTCTCCGGTCTCAGACGAGCATATCCAGTAAATGCGCTTTTCAGATTTTAATGTGATTATGTGGACTACTTTTTCTGTAAAATGGGTAGATAAAAAAAGCTTACCTGAAATGCACTCCTAAAGCAATTTAGGCCATGTGATATTTCGTAGCTCAATACAAATTGTTTAATGATAATTAATTTGTACAATAGGACTAGTAAAATTTAACATTTATTCTACTTATGACTTTTCATGTAACTTGGTATAGGCAATTTCAGACCTGGTCTTGCTTCAAAGAATGTATAGGATAGATAGATATCATTAATCAACTCCATCTTTGGATCTTCGGCAAATTCAGGATCAATGTAGAAAAATACAGGCATGTCAACCTAAAAAAATGGTAACCATAATGTATAATTTATTCCTTTGGTAAAAATATATCATTCGTTGAATATAAAGTTGTCATTATTGTTCCATTCAAAATAGGACATACTTAAATATTTATAGAGCTATTGGATAATAGCAATAAATATCCTTACTTGTTCATGAGGATTCAGTCGTTGTTCTTCAAAACAAAAACATTGAACCTTGTTAAAGTATTGTCCAACTTCAAAGGGTACTACATTATATGTAGAAATACCAATAATCGGTTCATTGGTTGGATTCGTCGCTGTATAAAAAGCCAGTGCAGTTTCACCAGGAACGACTTTAATACGATTCTGTTGCGGTTTAAAATTCCATTGCATGGAAGCGGCAGTATCTGCATTAAATCTAACTGTGATGATTCTATTTCTAACTGGCTTCATCGTTTCAACTTTGCTAGTATCGTGGCCGACCGTACCACCATAGCTGTAAGCCTATAACACGATAAATGTTTACTAAAAAAATAACAAAATAGCATCTTAGAGAATATCCCCATTTCTTTCAATATAAAAATAGAATACCTGACAAAACATCCTGTACAACGGTACAGCTGCATAGCTCAAGCCTACAGTGGCTACTCCGATTGCAATGGTATAATTCAAAGTCGTCCGTATCCTCCTTTTTTGTATAACCTCAAAGTCTTCATGTTCTTTTCTTAGATTTCTTGTAACGTTAGTAAATATTCGCCTCACAAATTTCCTTTCAATGCATTGGAGTATTTTAAACATTTTTCTGTAACGTTAGCAGAAAACCGACATAACCACAAAATCTCACGTATAACGATTTAAATACATGAAGTCCACTACGTACTAGGTTAACAAACCGAAATTACTGGCTAGTTATACTCGCGTTTATCGTATAATCAAGTATCAATTAATTTATTTAAACATTTGAAACAGATATTCAGAGATGATTTGAGAGATCGCTCAAATCGTTCACCAACTCCGTCGTACGATTGCATTCTGTACCAGAGATTAGTTGGGAGATTGCTCACGGGCAGGGTCGCGCGATCG